TTTTGTCAAAACCCTCACCGAAATCAAAGCAAAGCGAGACAACCACTTCTCCGTCATCCATACAGACAATTGAGTTTAGGATTCTGAGTCGCGTGCGATGCAAGATTTCTTAGATAAAAATTCTGGCCAAGAGAAGTTTGCAAGCCTGTGGGCTGAGTCCGGGACGTTTCTTAAAGCACGGAATAACATAAATAGTCTTCCATGAGATTGTTAAGGTAACAGAATCCGGAGACAGGTCTTGAAGGTTTTTACGAGCAGTCTGCAGAAGTCCACACTGTCCGTTTCGATGAAGACGTCTGCTATCCGATGTACCCCCCAACTGAGAGGGGGTTTTAACAATTTTTTGCATCACCCACGTTATTCAGACTAAACTCAACTCCCCTGACTTCATTTACGCCAGTGCCACTCAGCGTTGCAACGTTGCGATTACATACAATTGAGGAAAGGCCAAATGTCCCTTAGTGTGTCCCGCTTAGTGTTTCGCACACGTCTATGGGGCCTCTAACAGTTTTGTTTCAACGTATTCGGTAGTTTCGGTCCATCCAAAGGTTGCTGTTTGGGGGAAGTAGCCTGAAGCCTAGTCTTGTTCGTATGCTTTAGAATTCCGTCCTCAGCAAAAGTTTCACTCTTTTGTCTATGAACCTTCTGGTCACTGAAAATTGCTTGAGTGCTAAGAGTGGTATAAAAAGTCGTAGGATGAGGGAATAGTTTCCTCAGTTTTCTCATTTTTCGCCCGGATGTGACAAGTATTCAGATTTCCCCCGTATTACGCGGCTTTTTCGCTTTGTTTGGGGGATACGGATTCCAGACAACAGGTTGAATTAATGTAAAAGTTATTGAGACAGTCACTCAGGCCACTAAAAGAAAGCATTGGCCTCAGTCTAGTCTGGGCAGCGAATGACCAGTCGATGTCGACAAGACTCTTGCAGGCCGTAGTAATTTGGAGTGCACCCACATGGTGTAGAGAGTTGACAGATTACAACCATCTGGTCATTATACGACGATTCACTTCTGGTATGCAGGCTGAAAGGTGGTGCACTGTTTAGAAAATTCAAACCCAGTGTATTATTTGTTCTGTCACGGCTGCTAACTACTTGAAACCATCCGTTGGTTTCCAAGGTTTGAAAAATTGCTTGAAACGAGGAGGTCCTTGAAGTGAATACATTGTGACGCCCTGCATAATAAAAATCGTTGCCTACTACCGTACGGTTGGGCAGGGATGGCGGCGAGTTGAAGATTTCTTCTATACGTTCATCAAAAATAAGACAAGCGAACGGTTGCCTAAACGGGCAGCCAACAGTAATTGTGCAGTGTCGACAAGTACTTATATTCACGAATACTGCGTCACTTAAAAAGTTCCGACCTAACGAGATGGAAATTTAAGGTGAAAACCCGAACAAAATGGGAAGTGCAACCTCCAGCTTAGCAGGTATTGGTGTGACTACTATTCAGATTGTAGTTACCAAGCATGAGAACGGGGTTTGAAGTACTTGACGTGTACCAAGTTTCGGTAGCTAAACTGCAGTAAGGTTTGATTGGGTAACCTAGAGATTTCAGATGATTTAACCCATTTCAAATAGAACGTGGGTTAAGTGGAAGAACAGGGAAATCACACAGGTCTATAAACAGGGTTAGGTCATTTACAAGTTCAGGGAAGAGTGTTCTCTTGTGATCATCATTGGAGTTTACGTTACATGCAATGGAAAACGTCAGGACACAGGCGAGTTTCGCAGCGCTGCATTCAGGAATATCACCTGTTGCCTCAAAGGACGATCGATCACTTGTCTCCTCAGGGGATGGGAGGGTGACGTAATAGTATTGCTGACAGTGAACTAGCTACCGGATACAACTGATGGTAACTGACTTGAGTGTGTTATAATCTGCATGGCCGGGTGCGCTATCGTTTTGTGAAGCCCGAAAAAAAGGGACTTGTCGGGAAATTCCAGGATGAAGTCTCTTCGTAGAAAGCTGGATAGATGTCACTTGAGCCGGCCTTTGCATCGTGAACGGGGTACATACACAGCCCTTTACTCCAAACATCTACAGCGATAGTGATGGGGTCTCTAACGACGTGTTGTGAACTGAGAGTCGTTGGGGGTGCGCTGGAGTCAAATTGCTAGTTAGGTGGGTACTGTGATACGAAAAACTTACCTTTATTTCCAAAAACTGCATCCCCTTGTCTAAGTGGCTCTGACCTTCATGTTGGCACACTTTGCTTGCATCCCCGCAATTGAGGAGCTGAGCCGCATTTCTGTCAGTTGAGATCCCCCTACAGTCTAGTACTGAGTGAGAAGTCTTTTATACTTGCCCCTGTTTAGGAACAAACCAACTTGAAACAGATTCATAGGACTGAACTGTACAAGACGACCAGGATGTCCAGTTCTGGTAGGATAGCGCTGCTTGCTAATAGAGGGCGTACGTCTCCACCAGGTTTCGCCCATAGATTTACTGTCATTTACAGTGCTTGGGGATACTGTTTTGGCGACAAAGCCGAAGATATGGGCTGCGCAAACTGTGTACTTTGACTGCTTTCGGGATACTGCAGTGCATCAAAAGTCTGCTGATAAAACATCTGTGCCAGTTGGTCGCATGGAGTCTGCAGTTTTTGTGCTTACTCGCGTATTTACAAGATTTTCAGTGAGGGATAGGGGATAGGCTGAGGTCGATGGGGTCGTTGGTTGGCTGCATTCCGTTCCCAGCATCCCGTGGTTTTGGTGAAGGTTGCAAAGTCTGTGCTGTTGAATTTCCGTGTGTGACGTTGACAAGAAGCTAGGCCACGGGGTATTTTAACATTACTAAGAGGTGTTATAGATGTTATAATCCTTCGAGAGTCAGAGAGGTTTCATGTCATGAGCGGTGAATTAAACTGAAATAAAGCGTGACGTGGAAACCTGTTTGTTTTTTCTTTGGGCGACCAACATTCCATGCTGAGTCAGTCGAGAAACATGCTTGTAAACGTCCAGGTTTAGTCTGGTCGAATCGGATATTGCCAGGGATGTTGAAGACTGATGAGACCAGGTAGGACCACACTTGATGGCCTACTTCGCTGGCTACAAAGTCGAGTATTCTCCGGTATCTCAATAAACTGTCGAGTGGGGAGTAACTTTTGGAGTCCAGCTGATCCACCAATGATAGGAGACATTCCATCTTGCGCTGAATATTCCCTAATGATTCCAGGATTTCTAGAACATCATACGTAAATACATTTACATTGCTGTAGAGGTCAGATATTAGATTGGGTAACTTCGGTGACGGACTGCAGTCGTTGAGGGGCTTTTAACATTGATAGACTGATAGGGAGGCTCTGACTTATTCACACCAACACTCTTCTTTCGGCGGGAGCTACTGACATTATTTTCATTCACAGAAAAGAGAGTGAAAATGTTAACAGATCTGGAGTGTAGGGAAAGTAACCGACAAGTTGAGTGGTGACAGATATTAGATGACAGTTATTCCAACAAAGTCTCTAAATGGACAGTTACAATCACCCCCCTGCTAGCTAATAAGTATTCTTCAGTAAGTAGGTGGCAGTGGTAGCTATCCTGAATTTGAGATGGATCTATGTAACTCCAACTTTGCGATGAATGATTCAGTGCTTATTTGTCCCGCTTGCAGTCTGGGAACGTCAGGACCTGAACTGACATTGTACGGTGTCGAGAGAACTGGGGTTATTTCAGGTAGTAGGTATTAGTCAGGTGTAACGGACAAAATTTCCCGGACCATGATGGAAACAAGAAGTTACATCAACTTCTTACTACAGGTGCTTGTTGAGGATCTCTAGATGGCTCAGGAGAGATGAACAGTGTGGCTGGCTGCAACCTGACGTTCTGGGGGTATTGAAGACCTCGTGACTTCTAAATTTGCCAATTCTCTAGTCTTTAGGCGAGATGATCTCTTTTCTTCTTCCGATTTTCCTTCTTAGTGGGCGAGCGCCCAGTCGACAGCCCGCATTTCATCACTTAGCGCCGTCAGGATTAGCAGACCTTTTTGGTCAAAATTATTTTGCTATGGGAGTGGCTTTAGGGCGTTCCTACTCCTCTTCTTTGCTTCTCAGCGCCCTTCCGTTTTCACTTGCGTAAGGTAAGGTGTTTCATGTGGGTTATGCAAACTTCCAGTGGGACTCGTCAGGATAAATTATGTGATGGCTATAGTGCTACAACTTTGCTCGCGATAGCTTGTCCGACTAGCTTCACTAATTTCTTCAAATATCATGGCTGTCATTTGTGCTGTGTCAGTGGTTGTGAGTGTCTCAGGTCTCATAGTTTAGTGTTTACCTGGTTGTTCTCCTGTGATGACTATAGACTGAAGGTTTATGCCTCCTGTCCGCTAGTGAGCTTTATCTAGAATTTCACTCACAGTATCGGACTGGACTTTCCACTTCATCATTCGCTCGCTACTAGTCTAATAGGGCTTCTATATGCTATCTGAGCAATCGGATATGACAGCAAGTAGTCAGGGGCCTGGATAAGGTATAAGTGCGCAAACCTCGGCCACCTGTATACACTCCTACCTGGTAGACTTTCAGGTCCTATCTAGTTGGTTAAAAATCTCCACCGTGATATGTTCACCACCTTATGCACCTCCTTAGCTAGGTTTTAGTTAGAAAACTGTACACAGGTGGCAAATCCTTACCTGAAAGGTAACTTAGATTTTCTGGAGAAAGTTCAGGAGGCAGCCACTCGTACGATCCCTGTGATGACTAGCCTCACCTACGAAGACCAACTTAAGGGACTAGGCCACTTCTCCTCACGATATCGCAAGCAGAGAGGAGATCTCATCATACTACATAGGATTCTAAGAAATGACTTTGAACATGATCTGTTTTCTTTTTTTCTTCCCTTTAGGTTGGGACGCCTCAGAAGACGTATTAGGAGAGTGCAAAAACCGAACAACAAGAATCAGACCTGAATAAGTAGACTGTTGGAGACTATTAGCTGATAATTTCCCATCTTCGCACTACAAATGTTGGACTGCTGTCCACCAAGGTTGTAGTACCTTTTGTTTAAAATAGTAATTTGTTGACCGGTTTCAAAAACTACTATCTGTTAACAATATACTATGAGTATCTAGATGGAATCCGTAACCTGCAAGAAGTGCAGTAAAGTCTGTAAAGGTGACGCGTTAAAAGCTTCTGACTCCTTTTTCCACAATGAGTGCTTTAGGTGCAGTGGTAAGGATTTCTAGTTAAATAAGGAATACTTTGATGTAGTTTGTTCAGTTTGTTTAGGAGTTAACAGTTATTACGAAGAGAGTGGGTCATTTTATTGTGCCGATGACTACAAAAAGGTAATGTCGCAAGTCTGCTGCACTTGTCATTCACACATAATCGGCAATATGGTTACGGTTTTGAATAAAAATTTTCATAGAAATTGTTTCTTCTGTCACGAATGTCTGTAAGTATGCTCAAGTCCTACCTTATGCCTAGAAAAACCTTCACACCTGGTATGCGGGTCACATTTTGGAGTGAGAAATTTTTCTGCAAGCAATGTTTCCAATCCGCTTATTATCAGGATAATAGTGAACTTAACACGGATGACAGTCTTTCCCATATAAAGAATAATCGTTTCAAGTGCTCATGTGGTAAGTAATGTTAACAAATGCAAAAGTTTTAGTACGGTTGAAGTATGTAAATGCATGAAAAATTCTTCATTCAGCGTGAAATATGTGGGTATATGATAAGATATGCCTTTTAGTCTCTACAATTTTGAAAATTGTGGGAAACTCGTATAGCAGAAAGCTGGCAAACATAAGCCAACTGGTCATAAAGCCTTTCACCTGCTTCTGATATTTTTTCATTCGATGCTATCATAAAATAAGAATTAAAATCACTGACCATTACCCACACTAAGATAAAAAAAATTCAAGGCACTTGCTTAAAACTGTCATTCAACCATGGAAAGACGAAAAGCGATGAAAAAATGAACATCACTATGCATTTTTTGGGATGACTATAGAAGTTTGAATACATGTTGCTATAAACTTAATTCAACTCATAAAAGCAAATGTGAAAATCAGATGTCCACAGTAGTGTGATTACACTAGTATGATTATGAGCAATAATTTATTCTCAAACCTTATCAAATAAATAACACTGTACTACTGTGCGTTATAAATCAAATAAACAAACCCATTGTGGAATTAAGCCCTACTAAGGACCAAGTTTTACACTTATATTAATCAAACTTAACATACATTTCCCACTCAAAACCTCGGTCCCATATACTGGATTTGGCCTGATATTACATGTGTACGAAATACATTCCATCAAAAAATTTAGAAGTACTCAAAGAGAATCCTTGAACATTAGAAGCAACTGGAAACTTTTGTCTTGCACATCAGTTGCAGTTTACGGTTCGATTCTCGAATGACCATCCAGTACCTTAGAAACGTTGTGTTTGTCTAGTAATATTGCAAAGTGAAATGAAGTATTCACATTACGGCAACTTCTATAGTAGCTGTTCCTGATAAAATATTAAACCAATAGATCAATCAGTAGGCGCTAACCTACAACCTTGGGTTTTCGTCTCTCGTTCTCTTTCTCATATCTTAACACCATCCAGAAACATTAAAAGTGGGGATTTCACTGGGCTTAAGTTTTTTTTCGAAATTGTAGTCTGGCAATATAGAGTCAGAAGAAATATGACCATAAAATGTTTATCAATGCATGGAAGTTCCACAGCTTCTATAGGGATGCCACTGGTTTTAAACATTCCATGTTAATTTCTATAAGATGATTTTTAATTTAGTCTTTTAACTTATTCCTAGTTCAAATTTCTGTTTTGAGCCTTAAATGAGGAGGCTTGCGTGGAAAGAAGTTCTTTAAAACGTAAGCATCAGGTCCTGCTATGCGTATCTTTTGGGGTTCTCCTTCAGTATAAGGAAACTTTTTCAGGGAGATATTCGGGAACTTTATGCTTTACGGTTGTATGTCTCTACGATAGTGTTTGGTTGAGATTTATTCTTGAACATATTATCACATCATGTGCCAGGTAATACTAATTACTAAACTTGGTTTAAAAAGCAACTGATTCAATACAACACACTCACAGAGATGTAGGACACGAGTGATGGTTGAGAGATTTGGCGAGTTACAAAATGCATTTCCAACAAGCTACAGACATTCATCAACTGCTACCGCTCACGCTCACTAGATACTAACACTGAAGATCGGATGGCCAGAATAGTAAGAACAAGCAACAAGAAACTATGGGAACGAATCAACTAAGAACCTACTGCTCAAAAATATGCAGAGGAAAGTGGAGATGGATTTGACATACACTGAGAAGATAATTCAGGGATATCATGCACCAGGCCAGTTCCTTGAGTGGAATCCAAATGGGAAACTATGAGTTGGGTGTCCGAGGATGACATGTAGGAGATCATGTGAGGGAAAAAAATGAAAGGTTGTGGACAGTGGTGGAGCCAGGTTCAAAAGACTGGAGAGTAGAGAGTGCGATGACGACATGCTACTGAAGCCCTACGTTCCACTAGGAACCCAAGGGATAAATAGTAACAATAAAAGCTCCTCAAACTTGACAGTTACAGATACTAAGTTTTCATTCGATTGTCTCCTTTATAAAAAAGCACACTTTCTCAAGAAATTATTGAACTCTACTGACCTGAAACTAGGGCTTTGAATTTGAGTATCGTTACCATTTAAACAAAACAGTAACCTTACTAAACTGCTTTCGTGCGCGTATTTATCAACTTGAAGCACATAGGATTTTTAGCAGGAATGATAAATAGGTTTTACGGCAGATATTTGAATCTGGAGTGATTCTAGGCAATCACAACAGCAAAACACTCAAAAAGCACAAACTGCGTAAATGGTATAATTACTGGTAAAATCCTAACTGTTTCCTGTTTTCAGCAAAGTGGATGACTGAAGTTCATCAGTAGTACATTGATCTGCTTTTTCAGTTATAACTATCCTCGACGGATTTCTAATACCATCAAGAGTAACATCAACTAACTACGTGCTTACGCAATTCAATAAAGCTTTAGAAAGGTAGTTAGGAATGAACATTTTTTAAGCCAATAGATAGTAAGTTCCTTAGAATGTGACTTCTTCTTCTATTGAACACTGTAAATGATGTTTTCTACACTTTATACACTTTACACACAGCAGATGCACAAATAAAGTTGAACCAGAAAGAAAAAGTAAGTTTCTAGAGTTTCAAATTTTTGCTAGTTCACGAAGTTAAAAGTATTCTTTTTACGACAATAATGTAAATTTCTCACCGTTTAAAATTTAATATTTTTGAATATTTACTTATAAGGTAACTTTGACGAGTATTTAAGATACAGGAAGCAAACGCTTAGTTTAGGGTCAGCAGCAAATAAATTCTTACTTAATGATATCAACTACATAAAGCTTATGCATGTATTGTACTAGGTATGTATTATTACACATAGCCATTTTGAACGTGATCAAAGGAAATATACCTAGTATTGATTTCTTTTAAACAGAAACTGACTAATGTTCTTGCTTGCTTTATCCAGTTGTTGAATGAACCTAATTGATCGGTCTCTGTTAGCATATGAACCCCTGTGCGGATTCCTCGATATTGCTTGTGCTTCAATTATATTTTGATGATGGATATTGGTCAGTAATGGAACCCAGGATGCACGTTTCATCCTATTTGGGACTCGTCACCTGGATGTCCTTGCTTCCCAGTGAGTGGTGTTGTTCCCACCAGGGCTCGAACTTGGGACAGATCGCTCCACTAGGAGGCAGGTACATCCAGATGACGAGATGCGCTTACTCGACTCCACTACTACCTATTCTCCATTATCAATACATAACTGGGACACAGGCTACATCGAGATATCCGCGTAGGAGCCCATATGCCGACAGAGACCAATCAATTCGGTCCACTCAACGAGGGGATAATACAAACAATAACATTAAAACTATAACGATTGCACAAGAAGTGACTGTCGTGGTTCGGTGGTCTAGTGGATAGTGCTCTGCCATTTGAAGCGATCAGTCCGGAATTCAAGTCCTAGTTGGAACAACACTGGTCACTGGGAGGCAGGTAAATCCAGCTGGTGAGTCTGGAATGGGACGAAACGCTCGTACTGGATTCTACTGCTAGCCACTACCCATCATCAATAGAAAATGACTAGATTTTGCGAAGTAGAAAGGTCTTTTACGGTTCCAGTAGTTATCAATGGACTCTCCTGCTGGTAAAGGAAGTTTATTTATAAAACATTCCAAAAATAGCGGGAAAATAACCTGTAAAGTCGTTATGAAGAGATGAAGGGATTCAGCAGAAGATTGCGGAATCACTATGTTTTCGTCATTAGAACTAATAGGTAAAATTTGACCTGTAAGCATCATTAACCATTAAATTAGATTGAATATCATCAAATTTAACCCTACTATTTCATCGTGCTTATGAGACAGTATAAATTTCGTTTATAAATCCTTACAAACTATGTACATTTTTAGTGAACTTGTAGCAATTTGAAGACTTGCGAGATGTCGTCTAGTATCGGTGATAAGTCTAGGCGGTTGTTCCATATTTTTAGAAAACAGCGATTCATTCCTAAAAGATAGAAACTAAGGTGTGTTGCTGGAGGGAGACATTGACTACATTCGAAGTTCAAAACTAAACAGAAAAAAATTGCTCACTTCATCTACCGATAAAGGATAACCTATTATAGTAAGTAAATCCATCTGCTTTAGAAGTAAAAACATTCACCTAGCAAAAAAATTATGATGGGGAGTTTATTTTTACTTAAGAAATGTTTGCTGCAGTGTTGATATCTAGCACATCACTCAAAAACTTGGATCTACGCATTAAAACAGTATGAAACTATAATAATTTACTTGCTTGGTACCTGCAGAGGAACCCAAGACGCGTGTTCTGTCCTATTTGGAACTTATCAGCTGGATATACTTAAAACCCAGTGAATGTTGTTGTTCCCCATGAGATTCGAACATCGTACCCATCGTTTCAAACCCCAAGGCGTTCCCCACTGGGCCACAGAGGCTCGACAGTCACTTCTTGCACAACGGGTATTAGCTATTACTACTTTCTGATATGCTTGTAATTATCCATTGTTTATTGGATTGAATTGTTCAACCTCTATTGGCATATAGGGATTCACATAGGAGCCCGTAGTAGGAAACTATAATTGAAAACCATAATAGACGTCTTAAATGATGAAAACTACTGTTTGTATCAAAGTAAGTTTAAAACTGTGACTTTGTGTCAGAAATCAGTTCCACTTGAGATTTGTTCATTTGATATATATCACACAGCGATACAGTAATGCTTACTTAACAATGTTTTTAACATAGATTAGTGCTCATAAACATATAAATGAAATCACACAGCTTCCGACATCTCACCTTGATAGTCCTATCACTTCATATTCTTTGATTTTAGTGATATTAAAATTTTCCATATCTGTGGAACACGTTTTGTGTCCTTCCTATAACACGTGTTAGGTGTTGAGGTGATGGACAGACATCCAGTGATCAGTCGTTCTCTCTCTGCACATAACTATATTGGGTCTCGGTGTAGTGGTTTTATCGCAGCCCTGTTTTGCGATAACTGGATTTTCTAAGATTATTGATCTTATTTGTGTGCATGATTCTGTATATGGCTGAGTTCTTATCCTCCAATAGTCAAACTAGCTCGTATCGGCTAGTTTGACCTACATGCTTGACCTCACAGTCATTGCATGGGGTTTGGTGGGTCAAATTGTTTTGTCCAATTGGATGGATAGAATCCTTAAGCCACTAAGGCTTACCTCTGAGTGAATCTTCAGGCTTAAATGCCAAGTTAATTTTAGCTTCATAAAGAATTCTGTGTAAAGTTTGCGATGTTCCTTTTTCATAAGAGTATTGAACTCCTCCCAGTTAGAATATCGGGACATAGGTATTTAGCCAAACATAGAATGATGGACCTTGATAAGATCAATAATCTATAAAAAAAAAACTCAGTTATTGCAATGCATGCATTAGCACAACCACACAACAGACTAGGATGAAACCCCTGTACCGAGGACCAATATAGTTATGTGCAGAGAGAGAACGACTGATCACTGGATGTCTGTCCATCACCTCAACACCTAACACGTGTTATAGGAAGGACACAAAACGTGTTCCACAGATATGGAAAATTTTAATATCACTAAAATCAAAGAATATGAAGTGATAGGACTATCAAGGTGAGATGTCGGAAGCTGTGTGATTTCATTTATATGTTTATGAGCACTAATCTATGTTAAAAACATTGTTAAGTAAGCATTACTGTATCACTGTGTGATATATATTTCAAATAAACAAGTCTCATGTGAAACTATTGTTTGTGTTGTCACCATTCGTCTCACTTATCTGACATACTTAACTGTACGGAAACTCAGCAACCACTATGGTATTGACAGTACAGCCTAGTCAGAATACCTGATAACTCATCTAAAGATGTATATGGATGTTATATGCCAGTTATAAGTGGGGGTGAGATTTCATTTGAAAGAAAATAGGAGTAGCGACAAAGTACAAATCAGCCACCTCTAGATCTGTAAGCTGGAAACGATGTTTTTGATGAAGTGGGGCACCCTTTGAACAGTTTGCTTGAAAGTGAACGAATGTTCATATATGCATCTCAATCCTCGAATGAAAGTCATCACTTCAGAGACCATCTTTGTAGATTCCTTACCTCACTATCAGTAGCAAACACGACCACTTAAATTTGAATCGGCTAAATAAATTGGTGCGTTGCAAAAGTGAAACATGAGTGTTAAACACTCATTTAACTATCTGCAACTTACATCGCTAGAGGAGACCAAAATCTGTTGGAGAGGGTGGTATGGTACACGGAAAAAACCTGCTTTCATTTACTATATTGCTGTGGAATTTTGTGACTGGAGTTTGGGAGTACGAAGAGATCATAGATAATGATAGTCTGATGTTCTCTAGTGTTCTCAGATAGGATACGAAAGATCCATTTCATATTTGTCAATTTCCGTCCTCTATAGCACCAGAGAGATATCTGACTACTTTTCAAAGTTTGAATATGCTTCTCTGCAGTGCATTCTGTTTTGCTACACAGTAGTGACACATGGCTGTTAGAAGAGGACGTGAGGCAGTTACAGGATTCTGATCACAGATATCTTCGTACCATTACTCACATTTGCAGAAATCACCATGTGACCAATGTTGAGGTCCGGTGAAGGTTACTAGAGGAAACATGCAACTCGATTGAAGACGTCGTGAACCTTGGTCAACCGAGATGGCGTGAACATATACTGCGCATACTGAGCCATCACCTGATCTCGATGTGTCATACTAGAGGAAAATGGATTAGGTTTGAAGGTGGTTCATGGTGACCAGAACAAGACGTGGTACCAGTCAATGAAGTTCCTGACTACTGGTCTAAATAATGTGGGGAGATGCAAAATGCGAAGTCGGTGTCCTCAAGATGATAGGAATAGGCGGTTGAGGACTGTTGGTGACATGGCTGAAAATCAGTGACAAAGACCTAGTTGTATTCACTCCTTGACATCTTCTAAAGCTTGAATATCTTCAGATTGTTTATTCAGAGGTCAGAGAATACCAGACGGTCACTATCCTGAGATGGAAATCATTTTCATTATTACAAGGCTTCGGATATTTGGATCATTGCTCTCCTAATATCGTTGGTATGTAACGGTGAGCAAGTTTTATATTTGGAATAAAGAAACAGGTAGGTAGATCAATTAAAGCTGTCTTCTAAGAATTAGGTCACTAGATTGCACATTACATATTCTTAATCATAGTTTACCGGGACATGTTACGTTGGTTTTAATTGCGTCTATAAGCTAGTCAAACAGAAATAGAGCATGGGAATATAGCGTATATGATTTTCCTTCTCAGCTCCATTTAAAATATGGTTTATTTGACTCAAGTCATTAAAATAACCGAGACCAATGATTGGAAACTTTCAACAGCACAGCTCAAAGTCGGTCACAAGCATTCAGGTTTACCCATGACTTATCTTCCTTCAAATCTGCAGTATATAATCACCATGTACCTCCATTTGCTTGTCTATTTTATCCTCTAACAGTTTTTACAGCCACTGATTTCATTATCTTCAATTCATCGTTTTTCTTGTCGTTCACTTCCCTTTTTGCTTAAGTCATACTCATATCATCTTTGATAAATATTTAACTTGCTGGTTGATTTTTATAATACCTAGTTATTAAGAAGTCAGACCATTTGTTTAAGTAGAAATCTTAATGACGAGAAATGTAAGAGGATCAAATTAAATTTTCGTTATTTTATTCAAGTTTTTAAAAATTCATTACTTTAGGAGATCATTATTTCACCTGATATGATATTTACAATGAATCTATCTAATTCCTTTAGGAGCTAGAAACAACTTCAGTTAGTTGTAAAAATAAGAATAGATCAAATCTGTCAAATGAATTTTGTCGAGAATTAACAGGACGATTAGCAGGTAGGTTATACACTTCAATGATATAATTTAATTTTGGGATAATATAAAAAGAAGGGGAGGAAGCACTTGAAATATTCAAGAAAACTAATTACAAAGTTTTACAATTATGAAATGCATTTATACAGCATGAAATCAAGCTAAGTTAGGAGCAGATATATTCCCAAAATGGAGTGAGATATGGGGACTGTAAAGAAATCGACTTCACTTCTTTAAACTTGTGAATACTAGGATGAATGATGTAATAGTAAAAAGAGATAATGAATAAAGAAGGCAGGACTAGTTTTTAGTTTACTGAAACCCAAAGGTGAAGTAACGCCTTGACATATTCTTTCTGAATGCACAGTTCAATTTTTATCAATCTTATATTCTGTTGAGCAGGCGCTGGCGAAATGCATGTGGTATCGTTGTTGGAATACGACGAATGACGATGAAAGGTTTATTAGCATCTATGTGATGCCTTGTGTCTACTAGGTGCTCTAGGACTGAACTATTCACCGGTTTCGCTTTGCTGTTTCCGAACCAAGCTGGTAAATGCTCTCGTATCCGGGGACGCACACGCCTAACTGTACACCCTATGTCACTAGTTGCAAAGCAACAATGAATCTGAAAATAGAAATTGATTTTATTACATTTTCTTAATCTCACAACGTTTTGAAAATGTATTTGCCTCTAACTTGGCTTGATTTCACTCTGTACAAATGCATTTTATAATTGTAGAACCGGATAAGAATATTTATTAAAAAGAATAGTTTTCGTTCATATTATTGCTTTTTATCAATGCCATGGAAAGAAATCTTCAGTTATTTGATATCATTACACAGTATTTAGCATATGAAAATGGACAAAAGTTTGTTTTATATGCAGGGGAATGATGGTAACTATGGTAGAAGCTTTTTCAACCATTAACTGTATGCGTTGTGTGCTTTTTCTACAAGGGATAAAATGAAACTGTGTTATCCTCCTCCATAGACTAGCTTACCTCTATATAAGCTGCTAAGGAGTTATTAACAGATTATGAAACTAATTGCCTATGAAATTAGACTAGTGACAAATATTCAGATTAGTTGTGTTGTGATTAGGATGTTCTAAGTTAACTTTATTGACTGCAGTCTTGCAGCGATTACTATGAATTCCCCTACCTTCATTTTAATTTTGCTGAATAAATTATATCTGCTCGGTAAGTAAGGCTTCACAAATAGTGGTTGAGACTCATGAATGATAATCATCATCAATATAGGACCAGGCACTACTATGTAACGGTTCAAGATGTCACATCTCATATCAGCACATCAAGTAGCAAGGCAATAAAATGGAAGATGAAGAAGGAACGAAAAATCGGTCAAAGTAGGAAGTAATAAAAAAGAGGAATGAGATAATGAGATTAAGTATAGCGGTTGGGATGAGGATAATATGCATATGCATCCGTGTCACTGAGATCGGTTCTGAGCCATGATACATCACCCAGAGTCTCCATCCACTGGTTTCTCGTGTACCGCGTATCCCTACCAGCCAGTCTGCATCTCTGTACATGGCTCAAACCAACAGTCAAGGACTTCATGCATTGATGTCATGTTTTAGTCTGGCCGCCTCGAGTCTTATACCAGCTTGAACCTAGTTCGACCAACATTGTACGGCGAGACAGATGGTGGCTAGGCATACGTAACACATATCTCAGCCATCTCAGTCGATTAGGGTTCACAATTGCATCAACTGGCTAATCTCTCCTACCTGAAACTTTACGTCTGATTTCTGCGCTATTCACGTGATGACGCGACGAACTTCAGTCTATGCTACGAATGCAACGGTAGTCAAACACCCAAAGCATTACATGAGTGGTAATTAAAAAAGAGTGATGATGCAACTACAATCATTGGTATCAGATTTCTCGAGCCATAGAAAAAGCATCCACTTTCAGGCATACTTTAAGTAATATTCGGGATTACAGTAAAAGTTTTTTCACATACTGTAGAATATTCAACAAAAGAATCTATATCAATCAAAAACACGAATTTCGCAACATAATCTTTCAAATAAATCTACGTGTAAAGGTATCGTCTACTGAAGTTGGTCAGCTTAGGCTAAAATACCAAATAAGGGAACACATTTAAATTTAGAAAATAGGATATCTTTTGATAATTTTGGTTAATAAATGACAGATTGAAAATTATGAATTGCTTATTCTACAATAAATCATAATCAAATGAAATGCTTCTGTCAAACTATTTTTAATCACCAGTCAGCTTATTTCATCAGTATGTAAGACTAGTATTTTTTTAAAATGACATTTTCTTCAACTTCTGAAGTAAGGATAATCTAACTGATTTCAAAAGAGTTTTGGTCAAAAACTGACATCAGCCCGATAAACTAGGAAGTCCTGAACAACTATTTCAGTATAGTCTATGATTCTTGAGAAATATATCCACTATCTCATGAAGGATCGAAGCTGGACACATCAGTTTTTGAGGTTAGCACGTTATAATTTAGTCACTAGGCTTTCCGACTTTTCCGTAGAAACCAATCGATCCGCTTGAAATCTCCAGCTGCAATAATGATTCAGTGTTCGCTTATGACTTGCTTCAGAGTGGATTTCCCGAAGTCCTAGTAAAAAACCGTGACCTACAGCTCCACTCAAGTCGGGTGAAAGGGAAATGCTGCGAGACGACATAGGAAGATCATGCTATATCACGAATCGACAAAGGCCGGGACATTATGGTGATTAGATTTCAACCCAGTGAGTATATGGTAACGTGCCCGCTTCAGCAACTGATGACCCAAGCTTTGATTCCTCATTGGATAATGGGTGGGTATTGCTGAGTAGTCCTAAACTAGAAGTAATCAACTATTTATTTCTTCTTGATTTTTGAGCTTATATTAACCATCGATGGAAAAACTCTTTTGAAGTGATATTTTTATTCTAAAGTGATAAACCTCTTAAATTATTGAATCTACCCTACTGTTACCAAACCCATTAACTTAAGAGACTTTTAGTGTTGAATAATGACAGGCCATAATTGAGAATTGTTTTACAGCCAGGATAGAACTCTAAAGTGGATGCAACACCAATAACGCACTAAAATTAACCATTGCATACCATAGATTGCTTGACCTTGTAAAGGTCAACCACTAGGATAACGTCTAGCAGTCCAAACACTAACCCGCTTGTGAAACACAGCATACAGAATATAATTTCAATCTTAATTTGTGCATTTACTGAAAATTACTGTCACTGAATTCTTGAATTATAATGATGAAACGGCTATTTCAGTTAATGGTGTTTTTCGATAGTTGTTTGAATAAGGCTGTTACTGCGAAATACGTTAAAGTGGGGGGGGGGAGGGGGAGGGGAGAAAGAGAACACTCAAAACCACTATAAAAATCGCTCACTTCTCAAATATCAGAGTTGCTTTGTAAAAACCCTTTTCTGATAACACTACTTTTGTTGTCATATGCATAAGGTTTCTTTTCATATATCAGTTATCTTTAATATTTTGACAATTCAAAAGTAAATTTTTCTCATACTCAAATTTGCTGCTTGTTTTCTAATCTAAGATGGTTTACTTGAGCATTTCGAACTTAGTGTATTGTCTAGTATCACATTTATTAATACATTTGCGAGCTTACTGATCAAGGCATTCAGTTTTCAGCCAATGAATGTTGAAAAGCCCCAGATTTGCATAAAGCATTGTTTATTAATCTAAACATTTTCAAATTGCCCTTTTCGTGACATTTTTTACGGCAAGGCCAGTGGTTCATTACAACCCCTGTTTTCAAGGTAATTCGCTGGTTGTTTAATGCTTACTTTTACCATGTTAATGTTTCAAATTCTAGGCAAGGTCATATGTCATGTATACATACACATATGTTTAGTTGACTATTGTTCTCGAAGGAATAAATTCTCCTATCCAGTTCAGTCTTCTCTATTTCTTCCCCGGTTGTAGTCGGTGGATCTTGTGTACGGGGTTAGCTGTTAGTTAAGTATGCGTATTATATCCTCTCTGAATATATAACAATGTGTTATGAGTTCGAACTTGGCTCCATGATCCAAGGTTTAAGTTGTCTATTTTTGTCAATTGTTCTCACAAAATAATAATAATGACTTTATTCCAAACAGTATGTTCGATATAGTATGGAATTCTCAGCATGTAAAAAATTAACAAATTTACTCCCAAAACAATATTTTTCAAAAACATAATTATATACCATTTGAGTGATGTTCATAATAACATCACCAAAGGTGAAACTGTTAATCAACAAGTAGAAGAATGTACTATTCGAGATAGGTATCCTAAGAATGGAGATATGATGTACTTCTGTGCATTCAAAAATCTATTTCCGTCTAATATGATATTTCATTGGTAGTTCAAAGTTCAAACAGACCGCTTGACTTACTGTCTGGCGCATAGAACCGAACGTTTTTGTTGAGGTATGAGCTGTGATTTATCAAGTGTGCAGTCAAATGAAGTGTTGCTAATACCAATCTATTCATCTTCTCAGAAGAAGTATAGAATATTATTTATCGTTTGGAAATATTACTTTACATGAAAAGAAAAGAAAGTCACTCTCAATTACAATCTACACCAATCTTTTCTAAAAACTATTCATTTCTTTTTTTACATATATTATATAGTACAATATTCAGCTTTAAAGCATGTTGTCGATGAATCAAAAATGAATGAAACATCAAGTAAAAAAGATGACTCGACAATCAATACAAATGAACTGGAAAAAGAACAGACTGACTCATTTGTAACAACAAGTAATGCATCGAATATTCAACAAAACGAACAAGAGATCAGTATCCCTATGAGTGATCAGTCGCTGACTAGTGACTTTACAGATGAATGTATAAATTCCTTGAATAATACAGTTCAACCTACAATATCTGATTATGATGATAACAGCTATTGTAGTCTAGTTCAATCGACTACATTAGATCAGCAAATCATGCAAATACTACCACCAGAATCAAAGAGTTCACCAATCCTACCAAAAGGCAGAGTGGCTGAATTAGTGCGCGTAAGTTACCAATACTTGATTTCTTCCCATCTTAATCGATATTTTGTAGTATTTGTTTGAAGAGTGTGTTTACGAAACACTAAAGTTTCTGTTAAGGAATGTCTATATGTTTAACTTCAATGCAGGATATCAGCTCATTTATTTTAAGGGATATCCAAATTAGTCACTAGATTATAACTAAGTTTCTAACAGTGGATTGGTTTTCTTAATCACAAAGTGAAACGTGAGCGCTAAGTTGAACAGTATGTCATTGCTAAGCATTGTATTTCATTAAAGTTGATTGTGAATTGAATGTGAGGATGGCATTGGAATAAGCTGGTGCTATATCACAAATTGACAGAAGTAGGAAATTGTGGAAAATGGGATTCTAGTGACCCAGTGATAAAATGCCTGCTTTGAAACCTGAATGTATTGGTTTCTATCCCCGGCCAGGTCGTGGGTACGTACTGAAGAGCCTTATACTAGGACGAAATGGCTGCTTAATGTTCCCAGGTGTTCAGTCATTCCCCAACTGGTACCACTTATTGATGAATATCAACTTCACCTAGAGAATACAACAAAATGTTGAGTCATTAAATGCTTAAATGACAACATTTAAGACATATGATGAAGCTTTGAATCACTTTTAGGTCATGAGTAAAAGTAAGTTATGACTAAATGAGAAAAATGACAAAATTTTTATTTATAACTTGTCAGTAACTACCTCTCCATTTAAAACAAGACTTCAGTAATGAAATGAATACAGTTCTGCGGAATTTCATCATTATTCTTAATAATAATAATAATAATAATGGTCGCTTTGTTGTAAACAATAAGTATGACAGTATGGAATTCTAAGTATGTAACTTTCCAGCAAATTCACTCTCAGAACAAAAGTTTCAGACGAAACGGTTATTGCATCATAATGATGTTAATAATAACAGTATTTAAGGCAGTAATGTGACATATCCAGCTGGTTCTGGATGGCCATCAGGTCCATAATGAAAAATCAACAGAAATGCAAACGTAATTTTGGTGATGGCGGTTCATTCCGACGATACAAAAATCTGTAAATCAAGCTAAAATTTGACAGATAAAAATACGATGTGCCTTCTTGCACTGAAAATTTCATTTCCATATAACGTAACATTTTTTTCTGCTTTGTTATTGACTCAAAAAACGGAGAATTGGAAACAGTTTTAAAATGTTCAAGAGTACTTGATACGCCTAAAGGACATATTTAAATGATTAAAACAAATTGAAAGGAAAGAACTTGATGAAAATGCTTGATGGATAAACTTGGTAGCCCAAGGTTTAAGCATACCACCTTGAATTCATAAGATGTGCCACTACTTCTGAAAAATTCGGTTCAGAATTACAAAAAGCCCCACTGTTTTCTTCAGATTTCTAAAACTCTTCCAAAAAAATCTTAATGTAGCTTTATAAATATGCCTTTTTAACAGTCTGTTCAAGTGGCAACCTAATACAAAAATGGAAATACCGTACCCAGTTTTGCCTTCAAATCGTCATCGTTTGGAATGTGAAATGTGTTGGTTTTTTCTTACTTTTTATTGGTTGAATTCAGAAATGTAAACGAACTTTGTACTGAATGTTAAATGTGCAAGTTTCCTTTTTTATTTCTTGATAAGAACTCATAAATTAGGTAAAACTGTAAGATAAAGGACTAAGTAAGTGCAAAGTGGGTACATATAAGCATATATCAATAGCCCATCATTGTTAGCAAGTGATATTGTGTCCGTGGAGTTTCATTCAACGGTATTATATAATTTCTTCAGATGAGTTCCCCCACCTAACTTTTGCTCACATTTATTCAATGAAAGGTGGTATTTCACGTCATTCAGTCAGCAAGGATTTTTCATTAGGATACTGTGTACCGCATACTCCATTATGTCTATTGTAATGCCATTAATGGTGGAATCAGTTAGTCTTAAAAATAATAAGCTTTTAGTTCTTTACTCTAAGATTACCTAAGTTTTACGGTATCTAAATTCTTGTTCATAAAGTTCCCAAGACGATCCAGTAATTTGATATAGTATATATAATGGCTATCGTGCCCCAGTGGATAACACTCTGGCGTTTGAAGTGAAGGGTACTGAGTTTGAGCATCAGTGGGAACAACATCACTCACTGGAGTGCAGCTGCATTCAGTTGGTGAGTCCCAAATAGAACGAAAGGCGTTCTGGATTCCTCTGTTAGTCATCAAGATTAATATAACAGTAATTTGATACATGACCAAAAATAAGCAGTTAAAATCTCACTCAAATAAAACTTGGTTTATTGGTTACCTAAGCTACAAATGTATTTGTACGTTGTTGACTAGTATTTATTTATTCATCAGCTTTATTCCTTTACAAATAGTAAGATTCAAAGTAGTTTTACTCATCATTTAATGGTAGAATGAATGATATTTTTGGCAATAATTAACGTATGTAAACTGGTGGATAATCTTTAAGGACAGATTTACACCAGTTTTGAGTTGAAGGATATAAAATGAATTGGTGGGATAAATTGCCCCTTTACTTTTTCTGAGCATTAACATCAATCTTAATTAGACAGTTGATGACTAAATCTCAGCTTAGATGTACGAAGTTCCTTTAGCATTTGCAACACCAGACGTATAACAAACTGTAGGTCAAAAGATGAATGTACTGCATAAGAGTCCACTCTGATTGGTTTAATAACCCTGAAAGTAGATTTTATGAAGGAACTATAAGCCTTTTATAACAAGTGTCTTCACATCAATGCTCGTATATTTCTGGACAAATGAGTGAGCAATATTCAGTCCAGGTGTAAAATCCCAGGTAAAGAAGGCAATTCAGCCGATGAGGTTGTTAACCAACTAAGGTGGTTTGTGTATATGTTGTAAATGCCATATCACCACTTACCTCGCTTCGCTAAATTAGACGAAGTAGAATAAGGATGAGACTAAGAGTGGGAGGCTAGTGAATGGCACCTATCTTTGAAGCACCTGACTCTCGCAGGGAAGCCTAGCTTCCTGGATCTCTCGGAATGATAAGAAACAGTGGTTGTAACAGCTTGGTGACATGGCTTAAAATCAATTATTACTGCCTGGATGAACTCACTGCTTTTCGTCTTCGAAATTTTGAAGTTCCCTAACCCCTCTTCATGTTCAGACCACTATCTAGTGCAAGGAACCTTCCAAATCAAGTTAAAAGCCTTCAAGGAAACTGGTGATAGACCTCAATTCAAGTACAACACTCGGAAACTGAAGGATGAAACTACAAGGGAGGTCTTCAAGGCAGCCATCAAGACAAAATGGGAGATATCGAGGAACATCCGTGAAGAAACCTGTGTGGAAGAACACTGGAAGTCTTTGAAAGCTATGTGGAAAGAAACCTGCACAACAGTATTAGGAAGGAAGAAGAAAGAAGATAAGGAATGGATCTCGACGGATACCTGGAAGCTGATAGAGGAGAGGAGGATGGTGAAGCAGAAGATAAACCAGTGCAAGGATGCTCAACGACAAGAGGAACTGAGCACAATGTATAAAACACTGGACAAAGAAGTGAAGAAGAGTGCACGCAAAGACAAAAGACACTTCTACGACACACTGGCAAGTGAAGCAGAACAGGCTGCAGGTAAGAGACCTGACGACATTGTATCAAATAACCAGGTTGCTATCTGGGAAGAGACCAACGCAGATGAAACCAATAAAAGATGAAGAAGGAAATTTAATTACAAAAGAAGAGAAACAGAGGAAACGATGGGCCAACCACTTCAAGAAGCTCTTGAATCGACCACCACCTGCACTTCGTCCAGAAATACCACCTGCAGCCGCTGAATTACAAGTGAACATAAATCCCCAACGAAAATGGAAGTCCTGAACGCCATAAAGCTACTGAAATACGGGAAAGCAGCAGGACCAGATGGGATCCCACCAGAAGCACTGAGAGCAGACACTGAGACAACAGCGGACATGCTCACACCACTATTGTAGAAGGTGTGGAAGGAAGAGAAGGTACCCGGCGATTGGAAGAAGGGTTACCTTGTCAAACTGCCGAAGAAAAGAGACCTCAGTGTTTGCAAGAACTGGCGCGGAATCACTCTCCTGTCCACTCCAAGCAAAATATTAAGCCGCATCATCCTGGAGATACTAAAGGATGCACTGGATTTAAAACTACGACAGGAACAGGGTGGCTAGATTCAGGAAGTACAAATCATGTGCTGACTAAATTGCAACGCAACGCATCATAGAACAGAGCATAGAATGGAAGTCAACCCTCTACCTCAACTTCATCGACTTTGAGAAGGCCTTTGACAGCGTCAACCGAGAGGTAATTTGGAAACTGCTTCAATACTACGGAGTACCGCAAACCTTTATCCGCCTCATTCAACAACTATACGAAGATGCCACATGCCAAGTAATCCACAATGGGAAGCTCAGTGATGCCTTTGAAGTGAAGACAGGAGTGAAACAAGGTTGCCTACTATCCCCCATGATATTCCTGATTGTGGTGGACTGGATCATGCAGCAAACAGTGGGGAGCGAGAAGAGGGGGATACACTGGACTGCGGAAAAGAACCTGGAAGACTTGGATTTCGCCGATGACTTGTGCCTGATGTCACATAAACTTGAAGATCTGCAGGCAAAAACTAACAAGTTGATAGAAGAGGCAGCTAAGACGGGACTTCAAGTGAATATAGAGAAGACAGAAGTGATGAAGATACCTCACCACCACCATCAACAACAACAACAAACTCCAATCACCGTCAACAGGAGAAACTTAAAGGAAGTAACCTCCTTCACTTATCTAGGAAGCACTGTTTCAACTACAGGCGGCGGTGGGACAGACGAGGACGTCAAAGTCAGAATCGGAAAAGCAAGACAGGAGTTCATTAGCCTGAAACCAGTGAGGAGATCTTCTGCACTCAGCATGTGGAACAAGATCCGGATTTTCAACACCAATCCAGTCAAGTCAGTGCTTCTATATGGTCCGGAGATATGGCGCGTCCCGAAAGGGATTTCCAATAAACTACAGACATTCATCAACAACTGCCTACGCTGACTCGCTACTGAAGATCAGATGGCCAGAAAGAATAAGCAACAAGGAGTTGTGGGAACGAAACAACCAAGAACCTATCACGCAACAAATATGCAGGAGGAAGTGGAGATGGATTGGGCATGCACTGAGAAGGCCGACTGAGGACATCACGCGTCAGGCCTTCTAGTGGAATCCCCATGGGAAGCGACGAGTTGGACGTCCGAGGGTGACATGGAGGAGGTCGTGCGAGGAGGAAATGAGAGCTTCTGGGCTGTCGTGGGACCAGGTTCAAAAGATCTCAGAGAACAGAGGTCACTGGAGGTGTGCTACTGAAGCCCTATGTTCCACTAGGGACCCAAGGGACTAATAATAATAATAATAATAACCCCTCTTCATCCATTCTGTTTACTTTACTGTCATTTTATGTCAGTTCACTCCCTCTGTGTGATGTTATGAAGTATGGTAAACTGAAATTATGCGCTTCTTTGTAGGATTCTGACTTCATTTGTCTGCCTGTGTATAAAATACTAGTTTGATAATTAACGCTAGATAATACACTGAAAATTTCATCAGCACTGACAGGATGTGCTTGCAATTTTTCGTATTCTTTTGTGTCATCTGTTATACAAATGAGTGGGTAGACCACCATGCTACGAAGTATGTGGGAGAAATCACCTAATATAAGCGCAAAACTCGGGGAATGCGGTAGATTGTGATCCTATTTTATTAGAAATGTCATAGTGAAACAGCATCATTTATTGGATTATGTTTCGGACATAATTTATTGTCCAAGTAACTCTACAACTTTTAGACATGGTTTAAATAGTTCTTATTTTCTATCCTTCTTTATGACAACGGTAAAAGAATTTTTCATATATCTGAGACAGATACAGAATCATTTCTGTTGCCCGTATTTGGTGTTGATTTGATAAACAAAGATTCAGCTATCAATCTCTCCCTCTCTCCACCCAACTACGTTAGTTTTTAATACTATCGCTATATGCCACTCGACTGTGTGGTTGTGATTCAGTAAATGATACTGTTTCACTGTGTGACATTTCTAATTATTTATTAATATTTTTCCCTTGGGTTCCTAGTGGAACATAGGGCTTCAGTAGCACGCCTCCATTCCACTCTCTTCTCTGCAGGCCTTAGAACCTGGCACCATGACTGCCCACAAGCTTTTATTTCTTCCTCACATGAGCTCTGCCATGTCGCTCTCAGCTGGGACGCCCAACTCGTCGTTTCACCTTTGGATTCCACACTACGGCCTGACTTGGTGCATGATGTCCGCGAATGGTCTTCTCAGTGTATGTCCAATCCAATCCATTTCCACTTTCTTCTACTGCATATCTGTTGAGCTATAAGCTCTTGGTTGGTTCGTTCCCACAGTTCCCTGTTGCTTATTCTTTCTGGCCTTGTGATCTGATCTTCAGTATCAAGCCAGCGTAGGCAGTTGTTGATGAATGTCTGTAGTTTATCGGAAGTGCTTTCCGTGACGCGCCAAGTTTCTGAACCATGTAAAAGCACTGACTTGACTGACATTGGTGTTGAAAATCCGGATCTTGTTCACACTTTGTGCTGAGTGCAGTAGATCTCCACACTGATTTTGGATTAGTGAAAGCCTGCCTTGCTTTTCTGATCCTGGGACATTTCTAGTAAACAGACTAAGACGGAGAAATCACCTGGCTTCACATAGTCCGAGTGAAACACATGTGTGTAAGCAGATATCACTTGAAATTAGGCAAGATGGTAAAGCATGCAAAATTTTATTGGTTTATCAGAAAATATACTCGTTAGTAATGAGTCCAGCCATCCCACCCTTAAGAAAAGGAGTAACTGATCTTAAGACATATGTTTTACCGTACAAGTTAAACTGTTTCACGTAATGCTTGAGAAAAGAAAGACACTTTAACCGCTTAATTGATACGCACTGATTAAGAGCATTCTGAACTTTGTATACTACTACTTTTTCCTCTAAACTTAATCATCTTCCTAGTAAAGGTTTCTTTTATCGAAAAAAGGATTGGAAAGGCCAATTAACCAACTGAATGACATCATGAACGCAGTCTATCACACATGTTTACACGGCATGAATAGTTATGCAAGAATGTATGCCTTTGTTTTATGAACCCTATAAATTCACTTTAAAATGAATTGTATATGCTTGAAGTATAACATTTAAAAAATCCAATAGTCACTTGGAGAAAATTTTTGTGACATTTAGTTACTGTGAATAAGCCTTTAGGATAAATGAAGTCGGTTAGTTTAGAAACTCTCTGTCATATAATCATGACTTTCATGTTATCTTTAAAATTAATTTTACAATTTATCCTGTTTAAATCATTCTGCTGAAAAGAACAGAAATCCCTCTGGGTACCTTTGTGTTAGTTAGAATAACTTCTATGCATACGTCGCTAAGCATTGAATACTTCACATTAATAATTCTATGGACTTGTGAATTTGTCTCATCTTTGGTTACTTTTACATGTATTTCATCTTGGAACTTTGTTCATTGATATTCGTTATAATTTGAAATGTTTAATCCTTTAAAAAAGGTATTGGAACAGGCGCCTAAAATCGAAAAGGATGGATTTGAACAACTTAAAATATGTACATCTATGCCAAAATCTAAATCTTTCATATCAGATGATCATCAAAAAGATTATAAGCAAGAAAATGCACAAAACACTAAATCTTTATGGTGTTATGAAGATTGGATAAAAATTCGAAAGCCTTCATCCAATTCAAATGAAACAGTATTGCCAATAAAATATGATATTACAGAAGATAGTTATCCTTCAGTCTTTACTTCCTTCTTCTCATCGTCATCATTTTCAAATTCAGTATCTATTCCACCAAGACCACCACAAAATCTTACAAATCATTTAAATAAACAACCAGATCGACTTTGGTCACGTATTCGATCAAACTTACCGTCTGTGACTGATGTGAATGGATGTAATTACCAATCAAAAACATTTGTGAATCATTTAGCTAATACTACTACTATTGCTATTGTTTCTGCTACCGATACTACTGAAGTTAAAAATGATAGGGAAATAAGCGGAGATAATCTACACATATTATCACCTATGAATTCCAATTCTGTATCAAAAAGTAGTAATCAAGTAGACGAACTGAATTATTTATCGAGTTTAAAATTGAATTGCAAAGAACTACAGCTATGTAATAGTGATACATTAGCATCAAAGCAAAACAATAAAATTACACATCGTAAACGTTTACATAAAAGTACATCATCAAAATTTCTAAAGCCTCCTCTAAAAGACAAAAAACCGATTTAAATACACGAATGAAGAAGAGAATAGGTTGGTTTACTTTTTGGAAATTATTACAAACCGTAAACACCTAATATATTTATAGTAATGATGGGCAGTGGCTAGCAGTGGAATCCAGGATGCGCATTTCATCCTATTAGGGACCCGTCAGCTGGATGCACCTGCCTCCCAGTGAGTGATCTTGTTCCCACTGGGACTCGGACTCGGGAGCGATCGCTTCAAACTCGAGAGCATTGCCCACTACATCACCGAGCCACGATAACCACTTTTTGTGCGACAGGTGTAGTTTTAGCGTTATTGCTTGTATTACACCGTCGTTGATTGGACCAAATTGATCAGTCTCTGTTGGTATATGGGCTCCTGTGCGCATGCTTCGATATTGCCTGTGTTTTAATTATGTGTAGTAATGATGGGCAGTGGCTAGCAGTGGAATCCAGGATGAGCATTCCGTTCTATTTGGGACTCGTCAGCTGGATGTACCTGCCTCCCAGTGAGTGATGTTGTTCCAACCAGGACTCGGACTCGATAGAATTTGAAGATTCCAATACATTGAATATTCCCATTTAGACATTTAGAAAAAAAACTGATTGAGCAAAGAAATATATTCCTTTTCAATTAGGTCTTCATCTTGGGCTCTACACTACAATTTAATCAAGTTACCAATCACGTGGTAATGTTTCGGAAATAATGGTGTAATTAATTAATAGAGTTACTAAAATTGGAAATATGAAACAAGCTATTCTTTGGCAAATAAAGTGATTTTTGATGAGTGCTCAGTCATTCACAATAAGCGATTACGTAATAATAAGAAAACAAATGAATACTGATAGAAACAAGTAAGGGAAGAGGTGTACAAAGTAAACCTAGAAGTCATATCATGTTGACGGCCACGGCAATGAAAGTGGTTGAACAAATTTCTTTTGAATACAAAGGCTAGGTTTGTAAGGGTGGATTGCAATCGCCTGTGCTATGTGAAGTAAGTGATTGCGTAATCCATGTTTTAGATTAACTGGAATCTGATGAATGATTTTGAAAGCTTTTCTAGTATCCACTTGATGCACCATGTCGACTAGGTGTGTAATTATGGAGCTCTTTATTGTTCTAATTTATCCGTTGCTCAACCATTCTGGGTGGTGCTCAGAATTTCGACGATGGAACTGCGTCATTGTACGCCTAACGTAACTAGTCCCACATTAGCAGTTGAACTGATAAATGTACGTAGAAGTGGCGGAATCAGGCAGTTTATCTTTATTTCTTGCATCTAGAATAGTAAGGTTGAAGAATCACAGAAAACTGAAACTATTAAAAAGGATATTTATCTCCTTTTTTGAATTCTTTGAACAGTTCTAAGTCAAAGGTGAACACAACCAGTCCCTGATGACAATGAACAACCATCGTCGAGTGATAAGTAGGATTTTGAAAACACTCACTAAATATTAACTTTACTTATACGATTTCATGATTGGGGATACGATAGATATGAGGAGAAACATTTAATATGAGCTTAAAAGCTGTGTAAGACTATTGTTTGTTTGCCTTTGTTTCATCTGCTGTATTTCTGGGGATTCTGAAACGGTCTCTTTTCTACGTGTAAATTGCCACAATATTTTTTTAAAAGCAAACCTGAAAAAATATCGATGGGATTGAAAATGTGTGCTCAATCTCCGTTTAACATCACAAAAATCTGTCGGTTTACAATGATTCAATGAAAAGCATTTTGTCTCCTAGATTTAAAACAAATTTATAAAATAAACTGTCCGGAAAATAACACATAAACTGATATCAAAAGATACATACATGAAGTCAAGCTTTGAAAATGTCAAAGCTATTCAAGAAAACTATCATACCATAGTATCATTTGATTGATTGTCAACAGTAGTAGAATCCCTATTTGCGACTCGTTAGATGGATGTACGTGAATCCCAGTGAGTGATGTTTTCAATACTAATACTCGGAACTCGTAACCATCGCTTCAAATGCCAAAGCGTTATCTACAAGGCTACTGAAGTACGGTAGACACCTCTTGTACAACGGATATTAGCCATTATTATTTGTTGATACTTGTAATTCTTCGTTTTTATACTGAATCGAATTGGTTGACCTATATTGGCACATAGGCATCCAGATAGGAGCCCAGTAGAGGTCGAAAAATTCGATCTAGTATAACGACGGAAAATTCCAAGTACCAATGAATTATACTACCATAGTATGACTATTTTTAAGTATTAAAATACGGTCCTAATTTGTTACTTTCCAATTGTAAGGATTTCATTGAAATATCAATGGTCACTGAGACTGTATTTATCATAAAGGACATAATTACTAGCATCTATCGGCTTGGTTTTAGGTATTTGTCCCACCCTTTGTTGTCGAGATAGATGAATATTCTTTCTACTGATGTTTATACAATTTATATCTCTATGCTTGATCAGCTTGATAGACAGATATTACTCAAACTAAAATCTTAAGCATGAAATTAGAATAGATTACTGTTGGATGATAGGCTGCTGTTCTTCATGATTACTAAATCTTTCATACGGTCTACCATTGTTCGAATAACTGTATCCGATATTTAAACATAGTTCTAATTAGGTTGTACACCTTAAATATGATCAACTTTTACCAGTCAAGTACTTGGCATATATTCATCTATTCTCTCAATAATGTTATCTTGTTCGAGAAATTTATGATGAAGAATTTCTACTTTAGACTTCTCCTGTTTGACATAACACACAGTATATGAAAGTAATCATAAAACTGTAAAGACTCTTTGATGTTAATATGTAGTTACTTTGTTTATTTAGCCATATGAGTCCTCCCTCTTAAGTGTGAATGGTAGTGTCTTTCTCAATATTCATAGGACGGATATCGTGTCGTTACTGCTAGTTGTATTTGATATATAATTTTTACTTTTATATCATCATGCAAATGACCACCGTTTAGCTCCTAAGTTGTTTATCGATCATGACTTATTTTATCTTCTACCTACTTAAACAAATTTTTTAGCAAACAAGCTAGAAAAACGTAAATCTTCTAAAATAAATAAATCTTTTTCAATCACAACAATTGAAAGAATATCAAGCATAGTGAAAAATTTTGGAAATATGAAACTGAGAAGTGGACACCAATTTATTTGTAAGTTAGTATTACTTATTTTCAACATATTTTTAATCCAGCATCTTGAATTTATAAAAGCAAAGGAATAGTACTATGCCATTCTTAAAGATTACAATGTACTTCTATTCTTATCCTATCGAATAATAGTTGATTACTTTTCTAAGCAAAACTGATTAAGGATTTGTAAACTGTGCAATTCATGGGTCACTGGATCTTATTACTAACTGAAACTTAATAAGCTTTTATCTATTTCATCTATGAGTTTTTGTAAATAACAAATAATTATTATCAACTCTCATGTCATATGTAGACCTAATAAATGATTTCTAAATTGCAGTTATCAAATGAGATATGCTCATTGGACTAGATTACGACATAGTTTTGCATGTGAAACTGAGTGTTAAGATATAGGTAAATTAACAAACTGACAATTTCTCACTAATTTGCTTGAGAAAAGATATTAAAAATCCCCTGACTAATGAGAACATTTCTGACAAGGCGTGAAATACAGATTGTAATTAATTTATCTACGGAGATAATCAGTACTCAGGGTAAAACTCCCTGTAAGCAAGGTTTTAAAGGAGTGAAAAATAAAACTCTTCTTTACAGTGTATATATCTGGGATTATGCCGTATTTATTTCTCGCTTATAATGACGTGCTGTTACAATTTATCCATTAAAACAAAAGATAGTTGGCGCAGTTCAAGTATAAATTACCTCTGAAGTTCGTTTAAATCTTCAAAATCCAGTAAATTTGAAAGATTCAATGTACAGTGCATACCACACTTGACTGATTGGCCCGTTTATTATGTAAAGAACTGAAAGTGTTTTTGTTGTCTTCAATTCCTACCATTTATAGCTGATATATCTAAGTAAACTACATTGCTTTTAGATAGCGTTGTGTTCCCATGAGACTTTCAGTGTCCTGAACAACATCGTCAGCTCAGAAAACGCAACACAATCAATATTATCCTCCTGAGCTAAAAATTTTCATCATCATCTCAAAAACAACATTACTTTCGAAAGAAGTCTATATGCCTTGGTCACAATTTTTATTCTTAATAACTATTATTATTTGTCTCCGGGGTTCCTAGTGGAACATAGGGCTTCAGTAGCACGTCACCATTGCACTCTGTTACTGCAGTCATTTGAACCTGGCTCCACCACTGTCCACAACCTTTCATTTCTTCCTCACACCATCTTCTCCATGTCAGCCCCACCTCAGACACCTAGCTCATCGTTTCCCTTTTGGATTCCACTCAAGGAACTGGCCTGGCGCGTGATATCCCCAGTCGACCTTCTCGGTGTATGCCCAGTCCATCTACACTTTCCTCTGCATATTTTTTGAGCAATAGGTTCTTGGTTGGTTCGTTCCATAGTTTCTTGTTTCTTATTATTCTGGCCATCCGATCTTCAGTGCTGGTATCTAGTGAGCGTGGGCGGTAGCTGTTAATGAATGTCTGCAGTTTATTGAAAATGCTTTTCGTAACGCGTCAAATCTCTCAACCATCATACAGAAGCACTGACTGACTTGACTGAATTCGTGTTAAAAATCCCAATGTTGTTCACGATTTAGGCTGAGTGTAGTGCAGTGCAGTAGATCTCCACACCGGTTTCAGATTAATGAACGCCTGTCTTGGCGTCTATCTGATCCTGGTTTTGACATCTTCCTCTGTGCCGCCGCCTGTAGTTGAAAAGACGCTCCCTACCTAGGTAGGTGAAAGAGCCTACTTCCTTTAGACTTCTTCCCTTGATGGTGATTGGTGCTTGTCGTTGTAGGTTGGGTATCTTCATCACCTTTGTCTTCTCTGCGTTCACGTCATGGAAGTCCCATCTTCGCTACGTTGCCTCTCTTGAAGACTTGTTAGTTCTCGCCTACAGATCTTCGAGTTTGTGTGACATTAGACATAAATCACTAGCGAAATCCAAATCTCCTAAAGTTTTTTCATCGGTCCAGCCAGCGTATGCCCATCTTCTCGCTCCTCACAGTTTGTTGCATGATCCAGTCCAAATAGTTCAACGACTTGCTTCGATGTGATAAAGAGATGAAAGACTTTATTTAGACATTTTGATAACGGTTACCAACGATAGAACCTAGGAAATACTTTCTATTTTTTACTGATGCATATTGCAACTAACTTGTAAGACATCTGATCCGGTGAACCGAAAGCCTAATTTAAACGAGATGTACTAATTAATGATTTTGCAGAAAACTGCTTTTAATAGTAGCTCTAAGAAGGATAGTTTTCAGATGTGATTGTTTATGACTGTTTCATTTATCTGTCCGTTTTAACATAATACGAGATTTATACAGAAAAGCTTATAGGTTTGAAGTAGTGGAGAACATTTGTAGCTCAGGTGGATGGTTTTGGTTGTATTGTGTTCTTTAAGCCCGCTTGTTTAATCATGAAGCTTTCATCGTCTTTCTACACGACATCATCAGCACTAACTTCAGTATGAAGTGATCTGTCAACATCTCTCCGTGAGTGATTTAGTAGCTTACCCTGACGAGGTGGTTCGTGATTGGTTGTTTCCTTTGATTGTAGTGTCGTTGACTGTGTAGATTTTCCTGTTGGTTGTTTCTGTGTTGACCTCGCACCTTTCTGTCGTTTATTATTTTCGTCATTGGTTGATAGATTGGATCTATTCCTATACATCCACTGGTTGTTGACTAACATGAATGTCAAACTTCTAGGAATTCTCTGATATTCTTTGTGTTTCCTCTGTCCAAGGTTTCCACATTATCAAAACTGAATTCATGTCCATAATTATCTACATGCATTGAAATGAGTGATGAAATGTCATGACGTTTAATAGCCAATTGGTGTTCATGTAGACGAAGGCAAAGAAGGTGACCACTTTGTCCAATGTACTGTTGACTACAGTTATCGCAGCTGATTTTGTAAATGATAATAAACAACAGAAAGGTCAGAGGTCAAGCAGAGGAACAACCAACAGGAAAATCTACACAGTCAATGACACTACAATCAAAGGAAACAACCAATCACGAACCACTTCGTCAGGGTAAGCTACTAAATCACTCACGGAGAGATGTTGACAGATCACTTCATACTGAAGTTAGTGCTGATGATGTCGTGTAGAAAGACGATGAAAGCTTCACGATTAAACAAGCCGGCCTAGAGAACATAACACAACCAAGAGCTTATAGGTTTGATTTACAATTAGTTCATTTGCATATATGGTCTTTCGAATTGCACCGCTCTGTCAATACCACAGGTAGCTTTAGTGCTTTATTTTCTTAACCAGTCTTATTCTACAGCAAAAATGTACCAAAGTGGATTTTGTAGTAACATTTTTTCTGTCACTATATCATTGTTGCGCTAAAATCAATTTGCACGTTATTGGGTATCCTGTAGAAGTCTAATAGTAACGCTTCTGAATTCGGCATTAAAAATCTACAAATTAGTGTCTTATAAAAAGGCAGGTCTCACAAACTTTATAGCTATTCACAGCTATTTCCATAAAAATGACCTAGATTCTGATGGTGTCGTGTTATCTGAGCTGGATTGTTTAATCGTGGAGCCATTCTGGACAACATCATCAGCACAAACTTCGAAGGGAAGTGAGTGAAAAGGTTTTCTCCGCAATTTATTTAATGCCTTGTCCTGATAGCCCTGTGCGTGATCGATTGTTTCTGTCAAGGTTATGTCGTTGTCTCGATGTTTTTTTGGTTATCCTGATGACCTCAAATCTGATCTTCTTGTTGCTTCTTATTGGTTGATAGATTGGGTTAATATCAATATGTCTGTTGATTGCTGACTGACCTGAATACCAAGCTTCTAAAAATCTTCTAGCATTCTCTGCATTTTCTCTATCCAGGATTTTCACATTTTCCCAGTCAACTTCATATCCAAAGATGGCTGCATGCATTGATATGAGCAAAGATATATCATGACGCTTAACTGCCAGTTGATGTTCATGTAGACGAATACAAAGAGGGCGACCAGTTTCTGCAGTTTATTTTGTAGAAACAACCAATCACACACAAGGATATCAGGACTAACCACTAAATAAACTGCAGAGTAAACCATATCACTTACTTCTATCTAAAGCCCGTGCTGATGTTGTTACCCAGGATGACAACGAAAGCTCTACGACTAAACAGTGCAGCTCAGAGAACACAGAACTGTCAAACGTCTCCTCGTAAGCTACAGATATTCTCTATCATGACCTAGGTTCATAACTTATATTTGATTGCATTCATGCTTCTAACAATAAATTCAGTCTGCAGTCAGTTGAACAACTTTCTAATTATGAAATAGTGCTGCTTGATAGCACTGTTAATTTTTTCGCTAGAATGATTTATCCTCCCTGAATATCTCATACACATATTTCTTCTTAAAACAGGTCAGTACATCCAATTCAATTCAATCTTTAAGCTGATGTACAACCTCATCATTGTGACATTCCTTGTAATCGGTCTACTTGGTGTATTAATGTGGTTCGGAGAACAATATGGAAGGAAATTCATCCAAAAGAAGTAATTTCACAAAATCTGATATGTTTTTATCATGGACAGGTGGATCACATCAGAATCCATTTAGGAAAAGATATTTGCATATGTAAAATTATGCTACTCGCATTCTGATAAGTAGTATAACAACAGCAACTAATGTTACAAAACTAGTACCTGACTAGATCAATCATAGAGAATACAGTTACTTTTATTTTCGTTTATCAAAGTAGACACTCACTTGTCATAGATTTTAGAAAACAGACAATCCTCATATATTTATTCAGAATTTATTTGTATTACTAGTGTTCAAAATTAACTTAGTTTATCAACTTCCACTCTTCAACGACACTTTACACAAAAACACTATTTAATGAATCGATGTTGATTCTCGAAAAAGTTTTTGATTGAAAAGATCCTCATGTATAGATTACAAGTAAATATTTATCAATGAACAGTTAGATTCAAAGATGTGATATCATCCCATTAGCATAATGAAAAATGATTATTAGATTAGATTACTTTTCAGACAAAATATTACGAGTAAAAAGTAAGAAGTTGTTACTTTCGCTATTTATGAAATATTTCCCGTCTTCGCTAAACTACAAGTTTAACCATTGTAAAGATAAGAATTCGAGGAATGTATTATTTACCTTAAACTTAGTATACTAATAAACTAATTTGATTACATATATATACATACTTGTGTTCTAAGCTATAAGTTACACTTGTGTAAGGACTAGTAAAATTCTCTAATTGCCGTAATCGTATTACATGGAACAGATTTTGTAGTCACACCATCTATCGGATGAAAAATAGTTACCGGAGTCTGAACTAGAAAATCCGTAAAGATTTACTTAATTGGAAAATGAAAAACGCCAAAAACGATGTGAGCATACACGAAACAGTCGTCTTAATCAATAATCCCCATTAAAGAAAATAGTGTAAATATTAATTTCAGAGGCAACTTAAGTGATTTTAAAGGATACAGATATTTCTATTGGATGTTATTACTAAGTTAGGAATCGTAAATCAAGTAGTTCAGTCACGTTACACATTCTAATGATTACACCAGATTGGCTCATTAATTGGAAATTAGCCAAGCCTGAGGATTAGACCATAACAGTCTAATTGCTACTACGGCTACAATCTAAAATGCAATAGTGGGAAAAATCGTTTTTAATCATAAAAAATCAAGTATTTGTTAACATTGGTGCACACAAAAGCTGTTACCCAGTGCATTTTGCGTCGTAGCTGACTCTAACTGTAATAATAGTTGGCAAACGATTCATTTACGCATTAGTCATTGCTTCTAAAAGAGTTTTAATGGTACTTATAATGTGAGGTTTCATAGTATTCTGCTGCTAAACGTATGACAAACACAGCATATAAATGCTAACCGATAAGAATTATATTTAGAACACTTCTTTACTACTTGCTTTTCTGTAATTATGCGGAAGTGATTTCCCGGTGGTGATCGGACTTAAGGATTTTAAAATATTTGAACGCTTCTTACTTTTCAGCTGACTACCTTTACTGAGTGATTATTTATCCCGGTAGAGCTACATGACTAGTTGAAGACATCAAAGAGTATATTCATCAAAAAACCATCTTAAAGTAGGCTGAACGGAAACAGAGTTCTCACGATGAGTTGTAGAAAAGGTTCTTAGCAATGAACTAATAGAGAACTATCTTTTTAATTATGTTATCAGTGCGTGAAATGAAAGTTAATTTACGATGAGTACTTTGAACAATTAAAATTTACTACTGCAGGCTGCACTATGTGCATCATGATGAAACTTTTTCAATGGTTAACAAAGTTATTACTAATCCCTAAAACTTTGTGTTGTCCCTGTGGAAAGTTTAACAGAGCCCTAGTAACGATTGTATACTTTGTTCATGAAAGTGTGTCGATAGATTTTAAGTTTTTAAGCGACCACTCAGACTAGCTGGAAAATTTCGAACTTTATCGCAGGCCTCGCCACCGGCTATGCATAATGACAACAAATACAAAGTTTTGTTGATATTCAGCGCAGGGTATTTAAACCGTTGATGCCTACTCATCAGCTACCAGAGGCTGGAAATATGCAGTGTACCTAAAGAGGATGTATTGGGTGAAATAAGAAGTCACAAAAGAATAACAACAATTCATAACATCTCCGGATGTTAATCTGACTCATTACAAGACGAGCACACCTGCTTTCTGTCCTAAGGACAAACTTAACCACCAAACAGTTAGTTTGGTGGGTTCAGCTGTAATCATGAAAATGGTCGCATCCCACATCAAATCAAACAAAATAATTCTGTTGAAGAAGCTGTGGTATACACAGCGAAATGTTAAGAGACATTTTGTTCTGATTTTCTAAACACGCTGAAATTACGCCAAGACCTACTTACATAAAGATAAAATAATTTTCTATTTACCCACCTCTCAATATGTTCTGTTGATCTCCATAGGTGCTTTTATTCGTTGGAATACTATTGATAATGTTCAAAATTGACTTATCTTAGGTTACCGATAGATAAGTCACTTCTAAATACAGTATCATAGACGATGACATCTTAACGGTTGGCAACATACCTTCTATTTCAAGCCATACTAATTGGAACCACTAGTGAGTTTGTTTGAAAGAACTTTCCTTTAAAAAAAACCCAAATAACCTACCTTTGAGTTTTAACTTGTTGGTAGTGCCTTTTGAAAAGTGGGTACACAATTCCTTGGACATGTCAATTTGACATATTTTTCATATACTTGTGTACAGACATCCTCCTCAAAGTTTTATATTGACGTAAACAAAAATGTTTTTCATTTTCCTCAGGAACCCAAACATGAAGAAATCTCAAGTCATTTTCTGCAAGTTGATGTCTCCGACATACACTTGCATAGAGACAATAAAAGAGTATGTTTCAGTGTCAAATCCTATCACATGTCGTTGTATCAACAACTAGCAATTATCCAAGTGACTTTAAGTTCTACTTCAGTCATTTACTTATTTCAGCACTAGTGTATCTGTCAAAGCGTCAAATACTCAATGATTAGTTTGAAATCTACATTCACTCACATGAATATATGCCAGTAGTAAATCCTATCCATATCTGACTTCAATGTTACTACCATGTTAATACAGCATAGTAGATGATGAAATGCCAACTGCAAATGCATTCAAACAGATAGCTTGCAGCCCTATATATGGATATGATTAGAAAAGCTACCTATTCTATCCAAGCACATGCGTCCATTAGGAAAAAAGGAAACAATGTTGAAGCCTCCCCATCGTCGGATGGAACACCATAAACATCAAGTTTGTGTTATAGGAGGAAGTAGCTAGGCACCTATCTACCGAAACATACCGGAAGTTCTTACTGGGATGCCATCTGAAGTAATATTCAGACTGCTGTAGAAACACTCGTAAAGACAGTTGATAACCCACAGTCAGAATCTAGTAAAAGCTAATGCATCTCTGCAGCTTTATCCGAACTTGTGGACACAAATCATTCTGGCTAGCTCCGAACATGTAAACCGGGAAAAAGATTCTGTAATCACCACAAGCAATGGTGACTGATAAAAGAGGTAGAGAAGGCATATAGAATGAGTGGTAATCAGTAGGTTTTTAGACAAATAAAGAGGCTGGTCAGGGAGCCTATGGCCGCCAAAACTATTGATGAGAAGGTCCTAATAACTCAAAACAGGCGACTGAAACATTGGATGAAATACACTGTTAATATAAGTGTAAAACTTGGGCACTGTGGCAGTTTGACCTATGTATTTGACCTCACAGTCACTGCATGGAATTCAGTGGATTAGATTATTTGGCTTATTTGGATCTATCGGATCCTTGAGCCGACAAAATTTGTCTCTGAGTGGATTTCTAAGTTAGAATGCCACCCTAATTGCAGCCTTGTTGACAATCCTACATGAAGTTTCTGATTCTCAACAAAGGCTACACTTACGGTAGCACTTAAACCTGCAAATTCACTCAGAGATAAGCTTTACCAGCCTAAGCACCCGATAGACCCAAATAACCAAAGTAATCTAACTCACTGAATTCTATGCAATGACCGTGAGGTCAAATGGATAGAACAAACTAGCCAATAGGAGCCAGTTCTATTATTGGACCATAGGATTTCAGTCATATGACGAATCATAGACTCAAATAGGATCAATAATCTTAGGAAACCCAGATATTCCAATGCATACATTAACACATCCACACAACAGCCTGGGATGAAATCACTGTACCGAAGTCCATCATAGTTAGATGGAAAGAAATCGATTGCTAAGTCTCTTTTCATCACATAAAGAAATGACGCAAAAAAGTGTATCATGGATATGGAAAATTTTATTATCACTAAAATCAAAGAACATGAGGTTATAGGCTTGTAAAAATCAGATATGTCCAAAATGTAAGCAAGTAAATACTGTTGTATCATGTGCGCTATATCAAGGAAACAAATCTGATATGGAAAAGTTTATTTGACCTGCAGCTACGCTTCAGTTGCGCAACATCCAGGCTCCACCTGAATGGTGTTTTTAGTCAACCCTCCGGCTGAAACAGAAGTTTATAACATTGTTGTAAATCTGAAAGTGTGGACAGCAGCACGATATAACGATTTCTGAACAGCAGCTTCTGAGGATATAGAATTGCTGTTTAGAGTAACTTATACAGTAGCTCGCTTTTAAGAATAAGTCCCGTTAGATTTTCCAGAACATTGATTTCTCAAGTTTACACACACTGTGTTCCGGTGCCGGCGATACAGATTTCCTCTCTCTGGCTTTGGAACAACCAAATTTCATGCAATGATCCACAAACGGTTGTGACAAGCCTCAAGTAGATGTCCCATAGGCTCTGCAGTTATACGACTCTTCTTCTCTTTCATGGACACTAGGAAGGAATAACTTTACACGGTTCGGGCATCCAAGTGAGGACCGCCCTTACAACTCTGTCAGCACTTAAGCTCCCCCAGATCACTTTCCACCTCCCACATTTTTACCCTCGAATCTTTTTTCGTGTCTCTCAGTGAACTATCATCTTTAGTTTCTCCCTACTCTGCAGCTCTCGAAAATGATCTCACTTCACAGTACTCTTAGTCTCCTGAAACCGCCCACCGAATCACACGCTTGAGCTTTCAATGTCTTGATCCTTCGACAAGTCGGCCAACAAACTTCACTAGCTACCACTCCAGCAACTCGGGACGTGTACTGTTTGTTAGACACGTATACAGAGCCCAAGTACGGTTATACACGTAACTCACCCGGCCAATATTGGGAATCCGTAAAATCCATACTCTGAGTTTCTGAAGATTCATTGACTAGTTCTCGCGGTTTTGCAGTTGCAAGTATACCACTGCCCATTAAGACAGAAAGTTCTTTAATCGACTGGATCCTAGTTGACGATCGCCTATGTACTGTTCAGAGTGAGCACTACAATGAATAACGAAACTCACCGTTGTCTCTTTGTAATCTCCGCTTACCAACCCATTGACTTAAGATCGGATGAAGTGAGGGATATTCTACGGAGAACTACGCCAGTCCCAAAGGGGTGGTTGCTAACGAAATCTCATCTCGGATGCAGAAGAATCACTAGGCATTTGCTAATTCGGGTCATCTCTGGCGTCCACTGGTAAGACAACCGACTATCTATTAAACGATGAGTATACTGCGCTGTAGTTCATTCCGTCTTGCTATACGGCTGTTAGAAATGACCATCAAAGGCAGACGATATGAAGCGGTTACAGAATTTTGATCACAAATGTCTTCGTAGCAGTGCTCGGGTTTAGTGGAATCGCTGTGTGAGCAATGGTGATGTCAAGTGAAGCTCAAGATAGGCAGACCGATTGATGTGGTTGCGAACCTTAGTTAATTGGAATGGATTAGTTGTGTACTGCGCATGCCGAGACACCACCTACCTTAATGTGCCATGCTAAGCGAAGCTGAATTAGATTGGAAGAGGGATCAAGGTGACCACACCAAGACGTAACACCAGTGCATGAATTCCGTGGCTGTTGGTCTGAGTCGTATGAGATGTAGACTGCCGGTTAGGGTCCCTAACACCAAAGGAACAAGCGGTTGAGGACTCTTGGTGACATGCCTGGAAATCGGTCACGGTGGCGCAGACATACATTCACTCTTTCAAGTCTTATAAACCTTGGATATTCGCACTGACCTTTTCTTCAAATTGTCTATTCTCTCACACAACCTTGTCTACTTTAATATAACTTTTTCTATCCATCTGTTCTTCGCATACTACCGTGAAGTGTAGCAACCTGAACCGATGCACTTGTATATAAGGTTTAACGTTGATTGTTTGTCTGTCTAACTTCTACTGAAAGCCAAGCGTTCAGACGCGAGTTGCTGCGAGCGATTTTAATGCTAATTCGAGCAGAAAGGTACTTAGGTGGCACGTTCAAAATCCGATTGTTTGATGTGGCATTCACCGACCGCAACTCGGAAGTAGACACAGACAGACCACTTATGGCAGGAGAGGGTCAGTGGATGACTGCCGCTCCTCCTAGAGCATGTTTGGATAGTGACTACGGATTGGTTTGAACGCGTATCTGCGTCTCAAAAGACGTAGGAAAACTAACAACTAGACCACTGGTAATGAAGCTCGACAACGAGAGCATTGAGGCGGCTTGATGTACATTAAAGCATACGTGTAGACTCCAAATACAATGAGTGAATGAAACTCAAACAAAAAGTCTACGCAAAGATCGCGAACAGTGATGGGCAACAAAGGCTATGAGGTAGAGAAAGTCAACGGAGATAGATACCTATTTAGGCTTAATAAGGAAACTGCAACAAGGTGTATGGTTTGTGAGACTATAGCGAAGAAGGATGGGTCTATGATTCACTCACATGGGGGATGACTGAAACGTCGGGCGAAACACTTCGAGGAACCGTTCCACTGGTCTCCAGCTACAACTTCGTTGCCCGCTATCCAATCGGATAGAAAATCAAGATACGACGTCTTACACATGTAAAAGTCGTGAATGTTGTAGGTAACCTGAAACGAGGAAGAGCAGGAAGAACAGACGGACTAGTACCAGAGGTATTCAAGGACAGTGGTCAGGGATTTGTAGTCAAGTTAACTGAATTGTCAACTAGTATGTGGGAGTCAGATACTATCTCTCTGATCGGTTTTAGTCACCAGTTGTCCTATTTTTCAAGAATGGCGAGAAGTTCATCTATGATAACCCAAAAAGAATCAACCTGACGAATGTAGTGTCCAAGATTCAAAGTTTTATAATCACTGGATATCTGAATGCAGCTTGAGAACAACAAACGTAGGAAACCAGGTAGGTTTCAGACCTAGCCGTTGGTGTACCTACCAGATATCTACACTCCACCAGGTTCTGGAACGCAGGTACACTTACCGACGTTCAGCACCGGCTCTATTCATCGACCTGAAGGCAGTTTACCACTCCGGCGTTGGATGGGACTTATGATGGTGTCCACCACCGAAAAAGGTCCCAAATACATACATCACCTTGTTGGAGGCACTAATCGAACAACCGCAGGGGCGACAGAGTCAATGGTGAGTTGTGTACTTTAAGTGGTGTCTGCCAAGACTTCCCACTCTCTCCATCCCAGTCTTGACACGGACGGTATTAAGGTCCCCTTCACGTCATGACACATACAGTACGCAGATGACATGATACTGTTAGATGAAGACACTGAAAAGGTGCAGTCTTCTGGACGACTTCAGTATGTTTGGGATGCGTTTCTCGCCACCCTACTGTGAAGTTGCCCCACAACTGGCTTCTAGCGGCCAGTAAAACTAGGTAGAGTGGGCTGAATACCGCCTACCTGGGAAGTCGGACCAGCCCTATGGGTGACCGACAAAATCTATGTACGGATACTTGTGGATCGGCTACGTTTCACTAAGTTACACTGTCTGCCGCGCTACTGCGATTTCTGACTAAGGATCGAGTATACAACAATGCATTTTGCTCCGTCCTATTGTGTCTATGACACATGGCCATTGAAGATAGAAGACATGAGAAGGCTTCCGGTGTTTCACCGCTACTGCCTTCGTACCATAGGCCGTTTTGTCAACATCAGTAAGCCGACGTAAGGCGTGGAATTGTAGGGGGTAGAGGAAAATCAGTTGGGAGGGTCGCGGATTCTCATCAACTGAGATGTCTGGAACACGTGTTAAGTATGCCAAGCCACTGTTTGCCTAGTTGCACAATGTTGGTCGAAATTTGTCCAGACTGGAAAAAGGATTGAGGTAGCCAGACTAAAACATGGCATCACTGCATCGTCTTCGAGTGTTGACCAGAACCATGTGGGGGTCGTAAACTTCCCGATTTGGGTCTGACAACAGAAACCCGTGGCCGGAGACTGGGTGGTATGGCTCAGAAGAGATATCCACGAAGTATCTTCACCTTACTCGTCATGCTGAGTTCAGTATTTACTCATTTCCCTTTCGCCTCAACTGCTCTTGACCGGTTCTTCTCTACTCATCTCTTATCCTATTGCATCGTTCGTTTACGTTCTGAATGATCTATAGGAACCTGGACCGTTAAACACTAATGCTTGCACCTATGTCGATAGTGACTGATTACCTCAGACAGTTGGATCGGCCACTGAGTAACGGGCTTAAACCCGAGACACCTGCTGAGGTTCGGGTAGCCTAAGTGTCTCTAGCACACACAGCAAGTAGACCGAACATGCTTGGACCAATAGTTCTTGTTGGTTGCGCATTAACATATACTATATCTGATTCGAAAAAGGCAAGTTACGTCTACTTTAGAGATGTAAATTCACTCAAGTTAAAAACTACCGGAAATGAAATTAATTTGTGTCCAAGGTGCTGGCGGTGACTAAGCACTGACTCGCCATTTCGTTTAAAACCCGCTCAACAAGGAACATAAAACACTGTCGGCGTGATACGTTATTATGGATGATTTTGGATTAGGTGGGACGAATTAAACCAAGAAAAGAACTTGACAAGGATGGCTTATCCCATTATAACTGCTAAATCCTGAATACATACATTACTGCAGCATATTAAGAATTGAACTATACAATGAAAGAAACGGTGTCAGCTAGATATTGTAACCGAAAGATATATATCTGCATTCAATGCATTAGCAACTAGGGCTCTGCCGAAGTCTACCAGAAAGGAAACATTCGCAACAATTGATGCAGCACTAACCATGTACCTGACATGAGCAAACTGTCACAGGCAGGAGCAAAAACAAAAACTCAGACAAGGCAGTTATGCGTGTATTATATCAGCCAATCAGTTCTCTTCCTCATCATCTGAGTCTTCATTCTCGAAGTTGTAGAATCTTAGTTCGTATGAGTCCTTTGACTTAGCAACAACTCGCAGAAAGTCACGCAACTTATGTCGTTTAAGGAACTTCTTGGTAAGATATTTCAAATACCTGAGATTCTGTGTTAGGAAGTGCATGAAAACTTACCTTTTAGAAAACGGAATGTTAGCAGTAACATTTATATTAGCCTTTTCTCGTTCCACATGGACATCTTTACCGAGATTGTTTAGTTTCTTGTGTACTTTGATATGCTCTTTCAAGTATTTTTCCTGAACAATATCCGCAAAGAAGAGATTAACGTACGAGTAAAGTAGGACTGATCAAATCTTCATCGATAACCCCAGGTGATATACAAATACTGAACTTTACAGCTTGTTTCTTTTTTGAGACTGACTTTGTGGACTTCGGTTTAGGGACAGACTATGAAGAATACCAAGTAAGACTTAAAATAGTACCTTTGATACAACCATGCTGAAAACCTTATTTTGCCGCCGTGAACAGATTGTCCGTCCAACTGCCAATAGCTTAGCACAGTAAAAATCATCCAGTTTAAAGATAGTAAGCTAGTTAGACTACACTGACTCCCGCAGTAGATATATCTGTAGATATGTAGTTTTGCCTTTAATACATTGACTGAAGAAGCTGCTAATACTTGTGGTGGTTGAGTCTTGTCCGTGACCATTCTATGGGATAGACTCAGGGTCCCGCTTAGTTCATCCGATTTGGAGTTTTCATCTCCTTTCTGATGGCCCCGAAGATAAGCGGGACTACTGGGAGGAAAGGGGTGAGAGATATCAGCAGTGAAGTCATCATCAAGCATTCGGAATAACATTAAGTGGTCAACCCTTTAACAGCGGAGAGACAGTGGGAATAAATTCAGTCAGTGGGGTCGTTCGTCACTGAGCAAGTTCGAACGACCAGCTACTAGCTTAGTATGTGCAACCTGAACACGCTGAAGTTCATCGGCATCTCGTTTTAGGTACAGGCTAATTACCTGTACGCACTGTCATTAATGAAGTCTAACCCATGAGTAGTAGAATGTCCTAAACGGATCCCTATCAAAACCTTGAAAAGCCCTACGAATCGACTGCAACACACAGAAGCCCCTTGATGCGGCTGAGTTGCAGTGCGCGGAAGCATCCAAATCATGACTTATGATGACGCCATATTTCTTAGTTCGAAGACTTGTAGCAGTTGGGTAACATCAGCGGAATGATGGGAACAGTTACCCTGACCAATGTGCATTACTGCGCTTTTACTAGAATTAATTTCCAGGCGCTGGTGTTTGCACCCACCTACCAGTCCGTCGAAATGCGCTCGAAATGCATACCTAGCGCTATTACTGCGTATGACTCCAGACGTTTACATCATCAGAGATTAGCAGCACCGAGTTTAGTGTTTGCGATGATTCGTTGATATATAACGAGAAAAGGAGGGGGCCTACTATTCTTCTTTAGAGAACCCCATTTATCACACGTTTCCACTTGAACAGCGTTGCATTAACTCTCACACTTAACCACCCACTGAGAAGTAATTCCCTTTCGAGGTTTGTGAAATATCATGAAATGCTAACAGGGACAGATTTCTTAGTATTCTCATGTGAACCACTTTATCAAGAGCCTTATAGAGGCTTATTATTACGGCATTTGTTAGCAGTTTGTGGTCACGAGCTGTGATTTATTGTTCTGCAGCGATGAGGACGTCTTTTGGAAAAGTTTCCAGTCTGAGAACCATGTTGCTGTGGGACCGCAAGTTTATCCGATTGAACACATTAGTCAAACTCACAGGGTTGTAGCTTATAACTGGTGAGCGCTGGCCTTGGGAACTGAACTCACGAATGGATTTTCCCAGTCTCTTGGGAGGCGGTTTTGAGATAATGATATAATGAAATGCTCGGTAACTGCATCAATAACAATGCCAACTTTCGAAGATATCGATGCAAGATTCAAACCATCAAGACCCGGGTATTTTGCAGGCATAAAGTTAGTAAGCAGTTGACGATCCGTCTCCTTTGTTATATGCACTGTACCAATTGGGTAGTGGGGTCGAAACCACAGTTGGGCACTCCACCGTCTGAACCTGTAGAGAAGACGATTAGAGTATTCAGATTGACACCGAGCTTTTGGGCAAATTTGATTTCCACCAAGCCGTTTGAACTCTCACTTGTCGTCAAATTAGAGATTACACGTTATGCCTTAGTCCTTCTTCTAACGGGTGAGAACAGTCTTTTAGGATACCTCTCGCAATCACCTGCAGGCTGTTTCCTGAGTGAAACTGAGGAGTGTGCCATCAAAGTCTTTCATAGACTCCGGCTTTACAGCACTTAGATTTAAATGTTTCCAGTTTGGTTTCTCAGATCACGACACCCAAAGGTTTCCTCCTCTTTCGTGGTCCTTGAGCATCCTCATCAAACTACCGAGGGTGATATGAGGGTCTTTGTGGGGTCAACCATGAAAGAAGTGCAGCTGTTGTCCCTAGTAATACGGTAACAAACCAATCCCAGTGGTTCTCATTCGGTGATTCCTTATCAACAGTTTGAGCTTCCCCGAAATATTTGCACACCAAAAACTAAGCATTGGGAAAACGATGCCATGATCAGATTAGTGTGCACAAAAACCAAAACTAAACACCACATGACCCCCTTTCACTAATGGAACAAAACACTGCAGGTCCATAATGTCGTCACATCGATGAGCTAAAACCAGGTGTAGTAACGACGGCTCTTGTTCTAAATCGCAATATGAAGCACAGATTGCTTTCTGAGCTACAAGAGCCCACATTACCACCAGAAGTGGATCATTTTCGAAGCAACCGCCTGAGACAAAAGCGATAAGCTCCATCCAGATTGTACGCGGAGCGTTCAGGTCTCTAAACATCATCCAAGAGAGCAACCATTTTGCAGATAAGGACTCTAAAACCCTCCACTCATCTGGTTTTTCATTTTTTCCCTTAACCTAAATATCTTGGACTCACAAAACCCCAAGATACGTTTCAGGTGGAATGTCTGTTAACTAGCTCTACCAGCTTAGGTCGCGTGTACGACACATCGGAGGATCTTTTTTCAACTACCCTTCAGCTTTCTAGACCATGACGGGCTTTGACGGTAACGTCCTCTGTTCTCGTGTTGACGGCCTTTGAAAACTTTTCAACGGGTTTCATGGCGTCAATAGAGCCTTTGAAAGTTCCTTTTGATCGCCCTGTGGGAAAATCAAAGGGGGTTGATTGTTAACTGGTGGAGGGTCATCGTCGTCCTCAGAGAAGCGGTTGTTAAGCGAACCGGGAGAAATCATAGTTGGTGTGCCGGTCACACTCCGTTTACGCCGTCCGCAAGCACATATGATGGAATGCTAGCCAAGCGAATTACTCGATACCTACATCTGGTCACATATGGTTTGTAGTCTCGTTGAGAACCAAACAGCAACGAGGCCACATGCTTGGGACTCCTGCCTCGGGAATAGAATGTAGGAGGCTCCCGGGCCGGTAACACCGCTCTAGATCACTGTTCCAAGCGGAAGATCTCCCCTAACCGGATGTGCGAATGGCGAATATTGAGCCTATAAGCCGAGTACCATCTCCAAAGGACTGGACATTCTACCTAGAGGCTGATTCGAAGAATCGCATAGTTTGCCAAACATTTGGGCCAGGTGACGCAACCGTTAATTCCATAAACCGCCTTGATACAATGAAAACACTACCTCTGATAGGCTCAGCATAAAGTGTAAAGTCCACTCAGACGGACTATAAATTGTCGTCCATTGAGCCACAAAAATGAGGCTGAAAGGGTGAAGAATCAGCATAATGTTAGTCAGCATAGCGTTTTTCTGCACTACAATTGCCGCAAAAGATTTAGAAGCTAGACCCATCAAGACTGATAAAACAGCCGGGACACTCTCAGCCTACGTGAAGCAAACGATTTCATGAGCCATTCTGCGTCAACCGCTAGTGATTTTACCTAGCATTTAGATTGACTTGGGAAATTCTGGCCTGAGAAGTGGGTACGATAACGTATCCTATTGAAATCATTTATCCTGGGACCTTTACCAAACGTAACTACAGTACCGGGATCATTCATGATGAACAGAATGAAACCTATGAGCATAGGCTGTGAATAAGTGATGAATAATATGAGCACTGTGCATATCAGAAAATTGTCACGATTCAGCACCACTCCACGTGCCCGTATATATGGTCAGTTGGTAGCCATATTCAAACTATTAGTGAAGACAAGGCACTGTGTTCTGAAGTGTTTAATCGTCTCATGCTCCTACGTAAGGGCGTTACGGGCCATCGCTCAAGTTACAAACGGATTGTCTTTCGTTTTGCTGTCGATCCCACACCATGGATTTCGCAGAAATGTTCCGCGCTTGGTTATCGTTCGTACAGCAATAAAAATTGTGTCAGCTCCTAGGCTGACCGAAAGCTTGTTGACGTTAGCTCGATAAATTCCTGTTCACTGTCTGACAAGGTACCCCACGTGGGATTGTTCAATGGAGTAAAATTTTACGAGACCGGTGACCACCCACCCAAACCCAGCAAGGAGTTCCTTATTGATTGGAAAGGGAGAGGAAGGACCAAATTCAGATCCCTCTCACATAAGTTGGTGCACACCAAAGAATCCCAAAGCGTAAGCTTGGATGCTCTACTTACATGCTCGTACTTTGCAGAAGTGCAGAATATCATCAGATCTACCAGGATAATCTAAGGTGATGACACGAAAGCGTTGGTAAGAGTCAAAGAGTCACGCTTTCAAAATGTATCAAAAGTTTGTTAATACGCCCTGAGAAAAAGATGGTAACCGCTGATACAAATAGATCTGTTCTCATGCACATACAGCATCCAGATGACGGGATTGATAACAATAGCAGGGTTTGTCCTTCCTAAACATCTACGGTTTTAGTCGTATTGTATCAGTCCGTCAGTAAAGTCATTCTACTCAACCCAAGATTAATAACGGAAGTAGTTCACCGAAATTCGGGAACGAAAGGAGTTGCATACGAAACCTGTGCACGCGACCTTAACTCTGACGATTAAAACTAGCCGCAAAAACGGAAAACTCTTCTCACTGATACTTATTCTTTCTTGTCTACTCGGTGACCAAGACTTTTTTAGGGAAGCTCGGGAGGCAGCCAAATGATTACTAGCCCGAATTGCAAGGACTGACGTCAACAGCTTAACTAATCGTTATTTTGTGTTGTAAACGAATATGGTGTTACTTTAGGTAGTATATAATTTAGTTGGCACCTGGAATAACCGGAGAAATGTGGCAAAACTTCGCTATATTCCGTGAAAGACGCGCGTCACCACAATAACCGTATGCCTGTACACATCTTAAGTACTTGTAGTGAGTTGCTGCGCTGGACTTCAAATATTGGATCATGCATAAATTTTATAGTTTCAGTCAACGTCTATTCCTTAAATAATTTATTTTCAGTGACAACCACACCATCATTTAGAGCTGATTTGCTTTCTGCAGCGAGAAAAAAACGAAATCAAAGCAGAAGGCAAAGAAGGAAGTTAGAATTCCAACACCGAGTATTTC